GGACGCCGCCTCAGCATGGCCAGACAAGTGGTGCGTCGGTGCATGCCTGGGATCCGAACCTGGGCCACCAGTAGCGGAGCGCACGCACTTAACTGCTACGCCACAGGGCCAGCCCTGTCAGGCGGTATTTCATTGGAAGTCTTGTACATCACATTAGAGAACTTGATTTCTATGCTGCAGCTAGTGGTTGTAAAAAACTTTTTTTTTTGTAAGTAACAGACCATTATTGAAGGCTACTCAGGATGAAAAAGGATTAGATGGGCTAGGTCCCAAACGCTTGGCCTCCCACCAACTCTCACTATGGCTCCCAAAGAGATGAGTCACAAAATGTGGTCTGCAGATCACCACTATCAGAATTATCTGAGGTACCCTATAAAAAATGCAGATTCAGGAGTTGACAACAAAGACCAACTCAGAATCAGAAGCTGGGGTTTATAGGCTCCCCAGGTAATTCTCGTGCACACTAAAATTTAAAACCAGACATTCTATAAGACAAATGGCCCATAATCTTCAAAAATGCCAGTGGTCTAAATGAAAAGAAAGGCTAAATAGCTGTTCCAAAGTAAAAGAGAATAAAGGGACAGGGCAACTAATTGCAATTCATGATCCTGAATCAGGGAAAAGTTTTGCTCTAAAGGACATTATTGGGACATTTGGCAAAATTTAACCATAGTATGATACAAACAGTATGGTATCAAAAGTTGAATTTCTGATTCTAATGTAAGAGAATGTTCTTGTTCTTGGAATATATACGCTGCAGTTGTTTGGGAATAAAGGAGCATGATGTCTATAGAAATGGATTGGGGGAAAATATAGATGGATGGATGGATGGATGGATGGATGGATGGATGGATGGATAGATAGAGATAGATATACCTCTTTGTACTATTCTTAAAATTATTTCAAAATTAAAAGTTTAAAAAATTAAAAATAGAGAGCCTAAAAATAATTTAAGTCTTAGGATTGTGCCAACTTCAACCACTGTTAGAGAACTGAGGATTACTGAAAGGCTTTAGGGTAGTGGTGTTATGTAATCAGATTTGTGTTTCTGATAGATCACCTTTATGGTAGTATAAAAGGTGGAATTAGGATGACAATATTGGTAACAAGGAGACCAATTAGAAATCTGTAATACTCCTGGTAAATAGGTGATAAGAATCTGAAAAGAATGATGGTAGTTAAGACAGAGAAAAAGGGATTGTGAAGTAAAAATCACCTGGATTCAGTGCCTGACTAGGTACAGGGATGGAAGTGAAAGGAGAAAAAAAGATAACTACCAGGCTTCTAGCTTGGGTGGTTATGTACATATTACTGCTACCAAAGTTATAGAGAATACAGGAAGAATAGCATTTAGTGTAGAAGTAGACAAATTTGAATTTGGATACATGGGACATCTATGTGAAGATGTATAGCAGAAAGTTAAATATAAGAGTCTGAAGCTTTGACAAGAGGTCAAATGTATGTATAGATATGTATGTACGTATATATATACACACAAATATATATGTATACACACACACATATATAGTACAACAATATGACATAATCAAGATCAAAAGTTCATGAAAGGCTGAGTCTAAGAAGATTTAATTTAACAGGAATAAATTTAAGGCCCAGTAGTACACTGAACCAAAATACCAAACCAAAATTGAACAAGTAGAGAATGGAGGAGACACAACTTAGCAAAAGCACTATAAAAATAAAACTGTATAGGTTTGACTACATGTAAATCCAATTTGTCAATATTTTAGGATAATATTCAAAAGAAGAAATACAATCTTAGACTGCACTAATGGAAATCTAGTATCTAGAAAGAAGCACATGAGAGCGACGGTTTATTGTACACTCGTCAGATGACATCTGTAATATGGTGCTGTTTCTTTCAAGCTTGAATAGTGATAGAAAAGAGTAAAATAAGATCATAAAGAGACTTCAATCACACCTTATTATGGATGGCTGAAAGAAATGGAAGGAAAGTTTCAGGGCAACACATGATAGCTTTTAAAAAAATACTTACGATTTATCATGTGGAAGACGTATTACATTTGTTTTCATTACTTCAAGGAGAATTAGAGAAAATGAGTCAGTCAGTCAGAAATGTTTACCTTTAATGTTTTCCTTCACTCTTTGTTTTGTGTTATTAAAGAGGTGGATGAAATTTACAGGGACACATGTTTGTTTGTTTGTTTGTTTGTTTGTTTTCTGAGGAAGATTGGCCCTGCACTAACATCCATTGCCAATCTTCCTCTTTTTCTTTTCTCTCCCCAAAGCCCCAGTACACAGTTGTGTATCAAGTTGTAGAGTTGTAGCTCTTCTGTGTGGGATGTCACCACAGTATGGCTTGACGAGCGGTGAGTAGGTCCATGCCTAGGATCTGAACCGGCAAACCCTGGGCTGCCAAAGTGGAATGTGCTCACTTAACCTCTTCGCCACTCAGCCAGCCAGAGACCATGTTTTTAACTCAACATAAAAACAACTTTCTCAACGCTATAGCTTTCTAGCAATGGAATGAACCGTATTGCAATTTGGTAAATTACTTGTCACCAAGCGTAGTCAATCAAAGGTTGGACGAGTCTCGAACCTGTAATCAGTAGGAGGTGAGACTAGAGTACTCTAAGGTTTCTTTCTGCTTTAAGATTTAGTGGGATGGGAAATAAAGATTGGACAATGAGATGAATATTCTTTTCTTTTTTGACTGGGTAAAAATACGAGAAAGCCAATTGACATATAATGAATTTCTACTGGCTTCCTCTATATATTTCTAGAGCTAGAGAGAAAAATAAAAATTTAAGGTTCAAAATTTCTGGAAAGGTGAATTGTTCCTTGACTATGTGATTTGAAGATAATCTTTTAGTTTCTTTTTTTTTTTTGTTTTTTTTTTTGTTTTTAATGTAACAGTTTTATTGAGATATAACTCGTATTACATGCAATTCACCCAGTTAAAGTGTTAATTCAATGGTTTTTAGTATAATCACAGAGTTGTGCCACCATCACCACAATCAATTTTATAAATAAAGAAATCCCTTAACAGTCACTCCCCATTTCCCTTTAACCCCTCACCCCCAGCGCGAGACAACCACTAATCTGAATTCTGTCCCAGTAGATTTGCCTAATCCTGAAATTTCATATAAATGGAATCATACAATAAGTGGTCTTTTATAACTGGGTTCTTTCACTTAGCACGTCGATTTCAAGGTGCACTCATGTTATAATGTGTACCTGTGCCCCAGTCCTTTTTATGGCTGAATAATATTCCATTGTATAGATTTACCACATTTCATTTATCCTTTTTTTTTTTTTTTTATTACTATATAACATTTTTATTAAATGCCTACTGTATCTTTTAGTTTCTTATATGTAGATCTTGATCAAATACATATTATTATATAGCTCACATTCAGATGATAGGTGACCACTCATTACTGTCTATATTCCCATTTTACTCACCCAAACCTTTATTAGGGAACTGTCTTCTGAAATAATCAAATATATAATCATCTGATACATTTGGCCTTGTATCTAGAAAAGATGGTAAAAGATCATTACTAGCAGGAAAATAATTCATTGACTCTTACATTTCATATTTTTATCTTCTAAATGAAAAATGCTAGCAGATAACATGTAAACAGTAGTTTAGCTCAATGAAATTAATACAAACAGTTCTCAAATCTTATGAATTTTTGTTGCATTTTTGCTATTTATAGCATTCATACCCTTTGGGTCTGCAATTCCTTTCTAGGAATCTACTATAAATAAATAACTAAGAATATATACAAATAGGAAGTTATAGGTTCTTCATTGCTGTTTACAATAAAAAAATGTAAACACAAGAAAAGTTTAACAATGAGGGTCGCTAAATAAATTAAGGCTCACTAACACAACGGAAGACTTTACCACCATTTATTAATATGTAAAGAAGTTAATAATATGCTGCAATTTTAAATGAAAACGTAGGTTGCAAAAAAACCTGAAGATTCTGTGATTAATTAACATGGAGCATATGTGTATAGATGTAGAAAAAGGTCTAAAATAAGTATTCTAAAATGTGCTCTTTATTTTAATTTTTGACATTAAATTTTTAACAGAAGAATATATAAAAGTTACATATAAAAAGTAACTGATTTGCTTGACTGATCACTATGAGAAAGAATAATTAATTTAAAATTCAAGTAAACTAACCATTTAATTATAATAGAATTCTCCCCTTTCCTTGGTGTGGTTCTTATTTCCATTTCTATTTTTAAATAGCCTGCTATATCATAAACTAAATAGATGTATTTTCATGTATACATATTTTTAACTAGGTTACCTCAAATCCTTTTTGGAAATAAGTATGGTATAAATGTACAAAAATGATACATATACACATAAAATTAGAGTTATCTTAGATAAAATTAAAATATTGCTCAGACTAAATGAATATTTTTCTAAGGACCTCAAGGAAAGATAAGGAGATAGAAATTAAGAGAAAAAATATTAGAAATGTTGAGAGGCAGAGATTCATATCAGACTCAGCAGATTCTGATAGAAGCAAATGAATATTCCAAAACTTTATTTCTCTCCTGGGCTTATCCTTTGTTAAGTTATAAAATGAGAGGACCAAGACAGTTTTATAGAACATAAAATCTCTATATTCTGTTTGGGGAAAAAACCTTTCAAATCAGAGATATCCCTCAAGTGCATGGACCACTCTCTAACCCTCCAATGTAACTGACCGCTCCTTTCTCTATGCTCTCCTGGAGCTCTGTCTCGACTACTGATATTGCACATGTAACACAGCACCTCTCTGGTTTACTTGTTTATCTCCCCCTATTAAACGATGAGCTCCTGAGGGGAAGAAATGATATAGTATACTTCTTAATATCCCTAGCACCAAGCCCAGTGGCAATCTCAAAGTTGTAGCACAAAAAAAAGTGTTGAGTAAATGAATTAACTGGTTATTAGAGGGCAGAAGCAGAATATTACCTTTCACATCAGAATTTGATTCTTTATGTCTTTGTACTAAATGTCCTTTATCATAAACCTAATGAAACACAGAACCAGAAGGAAAATAATACTATGTTATAAACATGAAAATGAGGTATATTTCCTATATGATTTATGGTATAGTAATTTTTAGCATTTCTCATTTTATCCTCATACGTTTAGAAAAGACAAAAATAATCTCTTAAATCAGAACCTTCTACTGTCTTCCACAACACTACTTTTCTCCTATAGCAATGAGTAGAAGAAAACATTGATATTAAAGGAGTTTAAAATTTTTTCACTTCATATTGAACTTATTTATGATGAGAAAGAGGCAAAAAATGTATACTTATAATCTCACTTACTTAAATGAGAAGAATAAAGATGTAGGAAGAGTGTAAAATGGGCGAAAATATTTCAAATCATATGAAAATGTACAAGCGATTACAAATCTGTGCTTATATAGAAAAGATGAAAAATATTTTTGTGTAGCTTTTAAAGAAGTCCAGAGTAATAAGGAGCATATATATGACATTGTGTTCTATCTTGAAAGGAGTTGGCAATATGACCCAGTTAAAGAGACACAAAACACTATAGAATTGTGACACCTAATTTTGAGTAGTTTACAAATCATTATGTGACCGTGAAAACATTTTAAATGCTTCTAGACTTTTGTTTCTGCATCTGTAGTATGTGGATATTATAAAGAATTTTCCAAAAGGGCCTGAGAAAGGAAAAAAAATTGAAAACATTTTTGCCAAGATGTAATGCATATCATTTCATGATAAAAGTGGACTACAAAATAGGATAATAGTCAAAATCCTCTTCATTGTAGACAAAATTGATTGGTAGCCAAAAAAAATGGATATAATCAGTATGAAAATGGGAGTAAAAACCAAAACTTGATTATTGATTATTGAAGAGAGAGAGAAAGAGAAATATTCTAGAAAAACATTACACAAAGTTAAAAGTAGCAATATTATATAATCACTAGAATTTGGAGAGATGAGGGGTGAAATTAGGCTGAAGAAAATTTGCTTGTAGTAAGACTTGATTTGATAAACTCTTAATGTCATGTTTAGACCTCTTCCCTTGATTGAAATGATGTTGTGAACCATAATAAACTATTTTATCCCACAGAAAATCACCAGGCCTGTGTCCTTACAAATGTGATCTACAAATTCTAACCACAGTAATCTATAATTATTTGCTTTTGCTGAAAATCTTCAAAATTAATTATTGAGAGTGTCCTGGTAGAAAAGAAATTGAACTAAAATACTTTAAAAATAATTTACTAATATTATTTTAGGGATGTACTGATGTCTTACAGGCAAACAATTAAAATAAGAAATACTTCAAGAGCATGAATTTAAGTTGTCCTCAGGCATTAACCTCAGTTAAGATGGCATTATTCACTCTTTTGGCCAAAGATTATTAGAAAATAAATTTTAAGATCAATGACTAAGAACTCCTATTAGTTTACAGACACATTTAGAATGTATGCAACTTTCTGAAATGACCAAATGATGATTGTTTTCCATTTGGAAGATTCAATATTAAACATAGATTATGATTTCATAACAATTTTAAAACGCCAATCAAGAAAGACAAAAATACATCAACATTTAATATGAAGGAATTTTATCACATTTTACATTGTTAAAAAGAAACAACCGACCCAAAATGAAGTCACTTATGCTAAGCCCCACCTTGTCTTAATACCTAACTCACTTGCAGTTTCAGCCTCTCTCAGGGGTGGAATTTTAAACCAATCAGTCTGGAATTTCCTGATCAACACTAGTGAGGTAATCTGCCTGATAAGACCCCTGCATTCCCCTACGGAAAGGTGACTTTGCCTGAAATAATCCACACTTCACTTCCTTGTCTCACTCTTTCTGTCTATAAAAACCTTCCATTTTGTACAACTCCCTGGAGCTTCTTTCTACTTGCTAGATGGGATGCTGTCTGATTCATTAATCATTGAATAAAGCCAATTGGATCTTTAAATTTACTCCGTTGAATTTTTTTTCTTTTATAACATGAAATACAGTTTGAGTAGATGAGGAAAACTACTATGTGGATATGTTTATGAGAACTAAATAAATGTCTCACAATATCTACATACAAAAAAATAAAAAAACAAATCCCAAACAAAACTTACTTTGGTTATTGGGTTCTACAAATGACTTAACATGAGATGAGGGTTTGTTTACCAAAAAATTTTTTTATAATTTTGGTCCTCCCCCAAGCATACTCATGTTGTTTAGATCACATAATTTACAAATAGAGAATTAGATATCAATGTCAAAATATACAATATTACATAACAATATGCTAAAGAATAGAATTAAAAATTTATGAGTAATACTAATACACACAAATGAGTGCATGCATACTGGTAAAATCTGAATAAGCTTTCTGGATTGTATCAACATCAGTTTTATGGTGTTAATATAGTATGATAATGGGTGTAAGATGCTAGCATTGGAGGAGGAGAAGTAAAGGATGCAGGGGACCTCCTGTACATATATTTTTTATAACTTCCTGTGGATCTATAATTATTTCAAAATAAAAAGTTAAGAAAAAGAATTAAAGGAGGAGAAGAGAAAAATAATTTCAAAAGTTCTTGGGAAATTACTTTCTGTTAATTCAATCCATATTTGGCAGATGACAGTGTATTTGGTGTTTGATATCTGCTGAATAAACTTGTCACGGCTAACTTTAAATTTCCTACTGGTGCTTTGTCACTATTATTAACACAGGAAATATTTGCAGAACAACTTCTGATATTTTTGTTTGAGTATTTAAGCAGAAATCTTCTAATTTTTCGAGTCTGAGAGAGCCTGGTACTCAGGTCTTCTCCAAGTTCTGGGTTCTCTGCAGGTAACAGATGCTTAAGAGCTGACTGATTGGATCCAAGGATGGACTGTTTAGACCCCATCAACTAGGGATATCACTTTAATTGTCCTTCATCTGTGTTTGTCAGGCTTATTTCCTAACTAGACAATTCTATTGACTTCTGGGTACTGATCTTCCTCCTCCCCCCTTCTCTCCCTTCTGGAGCTTATTATTATTTACTTGTTTGTTTCTTTAGTGATGAGCTAGGTTATTTTAGTGAAGTTCATTATCCTTCTGCAGAGTTAAGCCTCTGATTTTGCTCCTTAGGGGCGCAGACTTGGGCATGCCCACACTCACCCTGGGATGGCAGGGGTTTTGGCAGAGCTGTCTTTCACTGTCTCTTTCCCTGACCACATCCAGCTGTTAAATTCCACTAATTTCTGATTTACAACTCCATTGTTTTCAACAATGCCTTGGAGCATAAATTGCTCTACAGACTAATCCCATCAAATTCAGGCTCCTTTAAAGGGATAGTTCCTGAGCGCAGTGTTTGAGATTTGTTCTGACCCCAGGAGGGCTCCTCACAGCTATCTCTTTCCCCAGTTCTCTCTGGCAAACTAGCTGGCCTATAGTTTAGCCTATATCTCCAATCAATCTACCAATCTCTTCCCCATTGCCTTTTATCATACTTGCACGGTTTTTGAGAATGCCCTTAAACTTGAATTTCTCCAGAATCTGTTACAAATTAAGTCACTTCTTTTGAGAAGAGATTAGGAGCTATCTGTTTTATCTGGTTCTCCCCCAAGGCAAAATTTCTGACCTGAGTGTGTCTGGAGTTGGAGGTGGGGACAATGGCATTCTTCTCTCAGAGATACCCCACTTTAGGACCCGATGGGGAACCATCACTTTACAAGCCAATGCAAGGGCGATTAAGGCCAAAATATCCTCAGTGATGTAGCACCCAAGGTAGAGACTCCTTCTCATGAATGGGGTCTGGATAGAAGAAGGGATGCCTCACCTCTTGGCTACACTCACCTGGAACTTAGATTCAGCAACAGGTAACTTGAGGCAGGATAACAAATAATGATACCCTGCCCTTCCTGGGAATATAGCCCTCTGACTGATATCTGTGGAGAGAGGGGGCCCTGCATTCTCCACTATACTAGTCTGAAGTGGAGTTTCAGTCTCATTGAGCTGGGAGGGGGAAAAGAGGGAGGAGTCTTGATTCAAATACCACAGGATCTTGCTGTTTTTTTGGTTTTTGTATTTTTTTACCAAATTTGAGTAGATTTTCCAGAATAGATGTTTTTTTCATTTGCTGTATGCCCTTAGGACCATTTCCAGAGACTTGAAATAATTGTGTTCTTTAAAAAAAGTAATTTTCACCAATTTTTGCAAAAGCCCCTCATGCCATCATGGTGGAAGTGGATCTCCCAGAACCATCTATTTTATACCTTTGTATTCCCATTTAATTTTCCTTAGTTTTAATTTATTTCTTCTTCCTGTCCTGGATATATCTTTGTAAGATGTCTCAAATACTTTTTTGAGTAAGGTAAGTGTAAATGAAATTTAATTACAGGACCCTAATAAGACCTACTTCTCATCTGTCAATGTTCTTTTGTGCTTTTATAAACTGTAAATAATATGAGTAAAATTTTAATTGTTAACTTTCCCTGAGGAAAAAATTAGGGTATAAGAAGTGTGAAAGGAAATATCTTGTCATTCTCTTGCAATCATTTTTTCAAAAGCTGTTAACAACCAGATCAATGACTGTTTACCTGTTGCTCTTCTCTGGCATTTTGATGGCTTGCTGTGGTAGAATTTCTTTCCTTCTTTGTTTTCAGATGTTTTTTCTTGGTTTCTATCTAGGTAAAATAATCATATTTAAAATCAATATTTAATCAACACTCCAAAGACAGTATATATGCAGACATAAAACTATCTTGAGACTTCCATTTCTAGGAAAATGAAGGATTTTTCCTATTTCTCCCATGAAGTACAACTAAAATCCCTGGGTATTATATACAAAATAAACAGAGGCTCTAAAAGGTGGAAGGAAGAAGGCATACTGGTGAGGGACTTCTAGAGCAGAGAAGCAGCATGACGGTGAGCAGTTTTCAGTGTTTTCTTTCGGCCTCATATATCCCAGCCTTAGAGCTGAAGAAGCCAGCAACCCAGAAATGTCAATGAGCGAAAAAACAATGGCTGAAAACTTTCCAAATTTGATGAAAGACATGAATGTAAACATCTAAGAAGCTCAATGAACTCCAAGTAAGATGAAATCAAAAAACCCACACTGAGATACATCATAATCAAACTTTCAAAGTCAAAGACAAAGAGAATCTTGAAAGCAGCAAGAGAGAAGCAAATTGTTACATGTAAGGGATTCTGGATAAGATTATTAACAGATTTCTCATCAGCAACTTTGGAGGCCAGAAGACAGTGAGCCAATATATTCAAAGTGCTTAAAGAAAAAAATTGGCAGAATTGTCCTTTCAAAAGTGAGGGAGAAATTAAGACATTCCCAGATAAACAAAAGGTGAGGGAGTTCATGACCACTAGACATGCCCTCCAAGAAATGCTCAAGGGAGTCCTGCAAGGTAGAATGAAAGGACACTGGATAGTAACTCAAAGGCGTAGGGAGGAATAAAGATCTCAATAAAGGGAAATACATGGGTAATTATAAAGGCTAGTATTAACGTAACACTAGTTTCAAACTACACTTTTTGTTTTCTATGTGATTTAAGAGACTACTAGATTTAAAGGAAAAAAAAAGCAATTACTAGTGTAAAAGCTAGTATTACTGTAACTTTGGTTTGTAACTCCAAATCTTGTTTTCTACATAATTTAAGAGACTAATACATTTAAAATAATTATTTGTTTATGTTTTTGGGCATACAACGTATAAAGATGTAATTTTATGACATATATAACTGAAAGGGGTGGGAATGCAGCTGTAAAGGAACAGTGTTTTTGCATGTTATTGAAGTTAAGCTGGTATAAATTCAAACTAGAGTATTATAACTTTAGGATATAACATGTAATCCCTATTGTTACCATAAAGAATATACCTATAGAATACACACAAAAGGAAATGGGAAAGGAATTAAAACATCTCACCACAAAAAACAAACTGAACACAAAAGAAGACAGTAATGCAGGAAATGAGGGACAAAAATACTATAAGTCATATGGAAAACAAATAGCACAATGACAGAATTCCCTTTTTATAAGTAATTATTTTCATTGTAATCGGATTAAACTCTCCAATCAAAAGACAGAGATTGGCAGAATGGATAAAAACACATGATCTAATTATATGCTGAGATCCAAAGACACCAACAGGTTGAAAGCGAAAGGATGGAAAAAGACATTCCACGCAAATAGTAACCAAAAGAGAGCAGGTGTAGCTATATTAATAGCAGACAAAATAGACTTTAAATTTAAAAATGTTACAAGAGATAAAGTGCATTATATATTAATAAAAGATTCAATACAGCAAGAAGATATAACAACTATAAACATTTATGCACTTAATGGCAAACCATCAAAATAGATGAAGCAAAAAGTGAGAAAATTGAAGGGAGAAACACATAGTTCTATAATAATAGTTGGAGACTTCAATACCCCACTCACAATAATGGATAGAACAACCAGACAGAAGATATGTAAGGAAACAGAGAACTTAAACAACCAATAAGCCAACTACATCTAACAGACATATATAGAACACTCTACCCAACAACAACAGAATATACATTCTTCTCAAGGGTACATGGAACATTTTCCAGGATAGACCATATGGAGGCCACAAATTAAGTCTTAATAGATTTTAAAAGATATCATACAAAATATCTTCTCTGATCACAATGGGATGAAGTTGGAAATAACAAAAGGTAAACTTCAAAAAATTGTAGAAATTATTCAACACACTTTTAAACAACCAATGGATCAAAGAAGAAATCACAAAGGAAATTAGAAAATACTCAGAGTTGAACAAAAATAAAAACACAACATAGCAAAACTTAAGGGACACAGCAGAAGTGGTGCTAAAAGGGAAATTTATAGCTATAAAAACTTACATTAAAAAACAAGAAAAAAATCTCAAGTCAACAACCTAACATTACAACTTAAGGAATTAGAAAAAGAAGAACAAACTAAACCCAAAGCCAGCACAAGGAAAAAAATAATTAAGATTAGAGCAGAGATAAATGAAATAGAAAATAGAAAAATAGAGAAAAATCAATGAAACCAAAAGTGGATTCTTCAAAAAAGATCAACAAAATTGACATACCTTTAACTAAATGGATTAAGAAAAAAAGAAGACTCAAATTACTAAAATCAGAAATGAAAGTGGGGACATGACTACCAATACTACAGAAATAAAAAGGATTGTAAACAAGTACTATGAATAATTGTATGCCAACAAATTGGATAACTTAGATGAAATGGACAGATTCCTAGAAACACAGAACCTCGTGAGACTATATCACAAAGAAATAGAAAATATGAACAGACGTATAATTAGTAAGTAGATTGAATCAGTAATCAAAAATTTCCCCATTCCATTGATGTTGGATTTGGACATATGACTTGATTTAGCTAATGGAATGGTAAACAGAGGCTTTAAATATACTTTCATAGTTTGGCTTGCCTTCTTGAACTCTTGTGATTTGCCATGAGCAGAACACGCCCTAGCTAGCTGCTGGTCTGGGGAAAAGGAAGAAAGGTACAATAGACCTGAACTCAACCGACAGTCTGGAGATAAGTTCAACTGATCCCTGATTAGCCTAGTAAAGAGGCACAGATGTTCTGAAGATCCAAGAACAAAAAAATAGATATATACTATTGTAAGCCATTGAGATTCTGAGGATTTTGTTTTAATTCAGTAAAACAGAAATAATATAGGAATTGATACATAGAAGCAGAATGCTGTCCTAATAAAAATCTAAACTGTGTGACAATCATTGGCTTTGTGACTGGATAATAACAGGTGGTGTGGAAATTGTTTTGAGAAGCTAGAAGAATAGTGATACAAGTTATGAAGAGGTGATACACTTAGTAAAACTGTCTTCTGTGATAGTGTGAAAGACAGAAAATGTACTTAACAGACTTGGGTCATTGGAAAAAGATTCTGAGGCAGAATGTTTAGAGTATGAGTTGATTGTTGCTAGCTTCATTTGATAAGGTGCTACCAGAAAGAAATCAGTTCAAAAAATATTTGGACAAAGAATTGAATTGAGAGGGTAAACAGCCTCAAATTCTAGAATTTGCAGGTTGGCTTCAACGTAGACTTAAGGCAAAGGTAAGTCAAAGTTACGGCTTTTACATCTGTGGTAGACAATCTCTAAGATGGTAGACAATCTCTAATGATCCCCAGCTCCTGGTATTCATGCCCTTCTGTAATAATCTCCCCTTGAGTGTGGGCTCAACCTACTGACTCACTTTTAATGAATGGAATATGGCAAAAATGATAGGATTCTGCTTCTGAGATTAGGCTACAATGAGACTGTAGCTTCTATCTTGTGTCCCCTCTCTTGCTTGCTCACTTTGATAGAAACCAGTTGTGTGTTGTGAGCTGCCCTGTGGAGAAGTCCACACGGCAAGGAACTAAGGGAGATCTTCAGCCAACAGCCATCAGGGAACTGAGGTCCTCAGCCCAACAGTCAGTGAGGGTCTGAATCTTGTCAACAACCATGTGAGTGACCTTGAAAATGGATCCTTCCTCAGTCAAGCCTTCATATGACACCACAGCCAGACCAACACCTTCATTGCAGTCTTTTGAGAGATCGTAGATAGAAGCACCCAGCTAAGCCACTCCTGGATTCTTGACCAACAGAAACCATGTGATAATAAATGCTTGTTGTTTTAAGCTGCTAAGATTTGAGGGTAATTTGTTACTTAGCAATAGAAAAGTAATACAACATCTGTCTTATTCCATTCAGCTACCCTATCAAAATAACAGAAATCTATTTCTCATAGTTCCAGAAGCTGGAAGGTTGAGATCAGGGTGCCAACATGGTCAGGCAAGAGCTCTCTTTTGGGTTGCACACTTCTCATTGTATCCTCAAATGGTAGAAAGGGTTAGGGATCTCTCTGGAGTCTCTTTTATAAGGCACTAATCCCATTCAGAGGGCTCTGCCCTTATGACCTAATCACCTCCTAAAGCCCCATCTTCTAGTACCATCATATTGGGCATTATAATTTCAACATATAAATTTTGGGAAGACAGAAACAGACCACAGCATTCCACCCCTGGTCCTCCCAAATTCATGTCCTTCTCACATGCAAAATACATTCATTCCATCCCAACAACCCCAAAAGTCTTAACTCATTCGTGCATCAACTCTATAAAGTCCAAAGTCTCATCTCGATATCATCTGTCAGATATGGGTGAGACTCAAAGTATGATTCATTCTGAGTAAAGTTCCTTTCCAGCTGTGAACATATGAAAGCAAACAAGTTATGTGCTTCCAAAATACAATGGTGGGACAGGCATAGGGTAGACATTCCCACTCCAAAAGGGAAAAATGGGAAAGAAGGAAGGTTGATGGGTCCCAAGCAAGCCCAAAACCTAGCAAAGCAAATTCGATGAGATCTTAAGGCTCAAGAACAATCCTCTCTGGCTCAATGCTCTGCCTTCTGGACCCAGTGGGATGGCAACACCACCCCTGTAGCTTGGAGGGGTGCTTGCTGCTCGTGCCTGGCTCTCTACTGGGGCCCTGCCCACACCGTAGCTCATGGCTCCGGGTGCCTGCCATATACCCTCTTAAATCCTAGGTGATAGTGGCCCTGATGATCTTTTAGTCACCTTCAGGGCCTTTTTTTCCTTGTCTTGAGGAATAGTGCACGTTTGCAGTCAAATAGCTCTGTGGTACCGTACTGTAAAATTCAAGAAGTCTGACAGCCTGCCTTCATTCTGTCCTGTCTCCATTCTCTTCAGTTCAAACTGGCAGTTTTCCTGCTGGGGTGACTAATTATTTCTGTGGTTCACACCCACACTCATCTCCTTATCAAATGGTTAGTCCTCCACACCCTTACTGTTTTCTGAACATGCATTCTCATTTTTTGTAAAATGGATAGGCTCAGAATTTTCCAAATCTTCACACTCTGGTTCTCTGTTGTTTAACAATTCCTTCTTCAATTCATTTATCTTTTCTTGCATTTTACTATAAGCAGTCAGGAGGAACCAAACGACCCATTCAACACTTTGCTTAGATATGCCTCTGTATTTTGTTGCTCACAAGTTCTACCTTCCACAAAACACTAGAACACAAACACAATTCAGCCAAGTTCTTTGCCATTTTATAGCAAGGACTGCATTTTCTCCATTGCCCAATAACATGTTCCTCATTTCTGTCTGAGATCTCATCAGAATCCCCTTAACTTGCACATTTCTACCAACATTCTGTACATGATGATTTATGTATTCTCTAAGAAGATAGAAAGTTATTCTGCAGCTCTCCTCTTTTCTTTCTGAGCTCTCACCAGAATCACCTTTAAAAGTCTCTTCATGGCAATATAAACATTTTCTAACATGCACTTCAAATGTCTTTCAGCCTCTACCCATTTCCCAGTTCCAAAGCCACTTCCACATTTTTAGGCATTTGTTACAGCAGTACCCCATTCTCAGTACCAAGAGAGTACTATCTTAGTTTGTCTTAGTCATCACCTAATACGATCACATTGGAGGTTAGGGTTTCATCATATGTATTTGGTGGGGGCGCAGATATTCAGTACATAACATCACCTAAACTCCCTATTCCTCCTACCACTCTAATTTTCTCCTTCAGCACTTATCATCATCTAACATCATATATTTTGCTTACATTTTTATCTTCACCAACTAGAATATAAGCTACAAAAAGGAAGGATTTTTGTCTCATTTTGTTCATTGCTCTATCCTCAGCACTTAGTTGGAGTTGAATGTATAGTTGTTAAATAAATGAATAAATGAATACTGGACTAGCAGTCGGGTGATGTATGTTATGCTATCAACTCTCATTAACCAGTGGCATGGATTTTGAGAGGTATTTTAATCTCTCTGGATCTTAACTGTTCTCATCTATAAAGTAAGGGTGTTAAAAAACCCTAAGGTTAGAAAATTCTATGATTTAAAGATATGTAACACAATTGGAAAATAACAATTATTGCTATTCAATAATTATACAACTGCCAACTTTTTTTTCCTGAATGTTAGTCACAGTAAGAAGAGTACCTACTTAGCATATCCATACCATAGGCAGAACTTTTCGATCATACCTGACAAGTTAACTTGAGAAGACAAGTCTGCGAGTCACTGGATTCTGAACTGTCAGAGCCTCGGCTACTACAAAAAAATAATAATAAATTATTTTGGCTTACAGAATGTTTTGGTAGCATTTAAAAATTTCAACTGTTACTTTATTATCTTATTGGAATGGTAGAAATAGTTCTAATTATAAGCAGAAGAATGTTTACAAACGAGGTGTAGATGTTTGGTAGTTTGAGGCATCTTGGAACATAAGAATAATAATGACTGAAATTGTTTGAAAGCACATCAAATATAAACAAATCCACCAGTTCAAAATGACACTCTCCATCTGCAAACAAAACTCTTAGTCACCACTGGAGGTTGCAGGAGCACTAACTCAAAGTCTGAAAATGTATAAACAAAGGGGAAGAATCAAATATTCGTTCTGCCTTTCCTATAGGAACTGTACTAAAATTAGTACCTTCCTTCTTCCAACAACACTCCCTTAGCATTGAATTTTGCACTTATTATTCACTAACTTAGAGTATTTATGTGGCATCTTTATAAAAGTGTCAGTTATCTGTGCATAATGACAGCATTAAAAACAATTTGAGTATGTCTTTCACAAATAGTACATAGTAGTTGCTCAATTAATATTACTTGAATAAATGAAGTCTTGATGAGGTCTGGTCAAAGCAATGTGCATGGGAAATTTTCCTCCACCTATAGTCGGGATTTTCAGTTGAGACTAACAATTATATCCCAGGATTATAATAATAAGCATAGTAAAACAGCACAACAAATTACATTACTTCCACCATCTTGACTTACCTAGACTCTAGATCCAATGTAATTTCTCTCAGAGAAGTATCTGAATCATCAAGGACTTTTTCCAAGTTTTTATGTTTTTCCATTTCTTCTAATTCTTTCAGGCACTGATAATACTAGGGGATAATAATAAATGAGTTAATTACAAAATAACTTTATTTCCTAATTAAACTAATTGAGTATTTATAGATACCTAGAACAACACTTATTGGGAAATCAAGTACCAAAAAACCCCAAACACTGGTAAGATATTAAAAAAATAAATAAACTGCTATAGGCCCACAGGCAGGTTATGTTATCTGATAGACTGGAGTTTGATGCTTTACCAAATAGACTTGCTTACTTTGGTTCGGTCTGGATCACAGTAGTCCAAGAGAGAATCACAAAAATGATATCCCATTGACTCCAAGTCTTTTGTGTTGAAATGAGAGCCTCGTTTATTACCTAAAACATCAATAAGTTTACCCACCCTTGAGGATGAGTTAATCATTTGTTCTTAGCAGGTAGGCCTAAGTTGCAAAACAGAGAGTATAATAAACAAAACATCTGATACGATTCCATGTCCTGTCCTTTGGTTTCTTCTTGGGGGCAGGTCATTTCACAGCTTACTGCTTTCCTTCATTCCCTCTCCACCAACTGGACCAAAGGTGACTTAACAAAAATTAGTCTACGTTGTAAGGCAAGGGAAAATTCAATAAAAAAGTTATGGAATACTTGGTTGCCAGTTATAAACAGCCTAATAATCACTTAGAGAAAAACTTGGGTAAAGATTTTAATGTTTTCATCATCATTAATAATGTTATATTAGTTTCAAGGAGCTTTAAAAACTAGCCAGAAATTACATGTGTGGATTTCCAGCACTTTCCTTTGAGTTGATACATTTTCTAACAATGTGACAATTATCTTAATATGGAGTATTCTAAGGATATGCTAGATGTGACTAAAAGATTTCTTAAATGGAACTACAGAGCACCCTTTATTTTTAGTTCAAGGAACTAAAGTGTTTCCATTAAAATATAAATTGACAAAAACAAAACCACAGTCTATTTTGCCTTACAAATAGCAAATCCACTAAAAACATTTCTATCCTGATATTTTAAGTATGATCACTGCTTTTGCTTGAAATCAAGAGTCATCAGTAGGAACCCCTTCTAAAAAAAAAAACAGAAACAAGCAATTAAAGATTAGTTCATGAAACAACCAATTAGGTATTCCATCTATATGCTAAAACTTCCTTTTCTAAACAAAGGGAAATGATGAGATAGAGATACACGTGGGAGTTTGTTTATTCATCCTATTTATAGAATTGATTAGATATCAGTATGTGCTCACTATCAAATTATCTACACTATTAATCTTACATTAAAAATGTCTCTTTGGTTTAAAACTCTGAGAGCCACGAATGAGAAGACTTGATCTTACCCAGAGTAGATCCACAAAAAGTGGCCTCCATGGTAAAGCTGTTCCTGATTCCCATTTTCCACATTACTACTCTTCCTGTTCCCTCTTTGCTCTTCTGAACTTTAAACTTGCAAGCTGAGAATGAAAACTGGAAAGAAGCAAATAAAAATGAGACCCATTGTTTTTATGATAACAATGTCTTTCTTAGGAAGTAGGGTTGAAAATGAAAAGGTCGTTATGCAAAAGCAGTAATTTACTCTAAAGCTTCAGGAGCTGCTTTTATTTCCTAACCAAAGGAAATAATTCATTTTAAGGATGACATATTTACATTTCTGAGAACTATAGATTTAAATTCTGGTAATAAATTTTACTTTTTATCTATATATAGCATATGCATTCAAAACCAGTTGATTAATTCTTGATATTGTTGGGATAAAATCTTATACCTTAAAAAAGTTATAAGAAGGGGCTTAAACCTGTTTAGCAATAAAGATGAGTGCTGTGGATTTTCAGAATACAATAAAGATATTTTATTTTCATATGAGAGATTATTTGAAAGCTGTCCTAAAAGATTGTTATAACATTAGTATCTACAAAGAGTTTTTCTAATTTTACTTTTTAAATTAACATACAATAAAACTGACGTTTTTGTGTTCCATTCTATGAATTTTAATACATGTATAGATTTCTGTAACTACCACCACAATCAAGATATAGAACAATTCCATCACCTCTAAAAAACTCCCTTGTGTTATCCCTCTGCAGTCACAAGTATTTCATTTATTTTGGAGCTACAGTAAATGGTATTATTTTTAATTTTGGTTTCCAATTGTTCATTGTGAGAATATAGAAATGCAATTGGTTTTTGTGGATTGACCTTGTATCTTATAACTGCTAAACTCACTTATTAGTTCTAGGAGTTTTCTGGTTGGCTTGCTTGGGATTTTCTATGAAGACAATCATACTTCCTTTCCAATCTGTCTGCCTTTTGTTTCTTTTTCTTGCCTTATTGCACTTGATAGAACCTCCAGTATAAGGATGAATTGAAGGGGTAAGAGTGGATATCCTTGCCTTGTTTCTGACTTTAGGAGGAAAACAATCAGTCTTTTATCATTAAGTATGGTGGTAGGATAATGGGCATTTTCTCCCTTCGTATTTCAAATTATTAGTCACTAAACATTCCACAGAGTTGCTTTGTTATGGTCAATTGTACAAATCAGTCAAAATAACTAATAAAAAAGCAGTTTACTGAATCAGATTATCCATTCTGCTATCTCACATGGGTAACATGTAGTAAAGGAAAAGTTAAAATCTTAAAAGATGCTTACTTTATCTGGACAGTTTTTGCTCAGCATAAGTGGAAAGATTCGTTGCTGTAAGTATAACGCCTTACATCTACCCCTACCATCACAGCCATACATGAAGATGTTCTCTTTCCTACTATGGCCATGAAGGTCACAATATAAAATAACCTCTTGTTTCTCCATCAGTCTACCAAAAAGAAAAAGAATGGGTTACTAAATTTTATTTCTGCATTCATATATATATATATATATATATATATATATACATATACATACACACACTCATATACAAAATATGAATGCTTTAGCCTTCCATTATAAGGACAAAATTTACCTTACTCCCAAGACTTTCTCCAACAGGATCCCTCTGCTTTATTATTCTGGTTTTCTGTTATACAGTGAAAACCGCTTTCTGCTATCTTTGCTCATTAGCTTTCACATAGATTCCTTCTGACTGGAATACCTTCTTTCTTCATCTTTGTAAGTGGAAACACTACCCCTCATTCCTCAAGACTGACCTCATGTCTTACTTCCTCTCTAACTAACCAAGTCCATAGATTTTTTTTTGTTTTCTGAACTCCTACAGCACTTAATATTGATACTATTTACTTGGCACTTGCCTAGAAAGTTTTCATATTTTTGATATTTAATCTCATTAAGGATAGGGAATGCTTCAAATCATCTAGAACAGTGCTATGCACACAAGTGCACAAATATTTGTTAAAAATTGAGTGCCTGAGGACTTGGTGCTGGAGCCAATTAATATTTAATCCTTGATTAATGTGGTGAGTAAATATCATCTTGAGAAAAATTCAAAAGTTTGAATTGATTTTTTTTCTGGTAAATTTCTAATAAATAATTTAAAGCAAGTATTACACATATCTTAAGAGCACCATCCTTAGCTGGTATAATTTAGGCATTCAATGAATATTAAAGCAATAAAAAATAAGCCCCCAAACTGACTGATGAATATAACTAATAGAGAGGATTTCAAAAGGTAAAAAAGTGTGGTGTTAAGGTGGTAAGATTATGGGCATTTTTGCCTTTTTTTTAATATTTCCAAACTTTATAAGGCACTATTATATTACTTAAATAACTAAAATTATATATACTATTTGATATATCTGGAAGGATAAATACCAAAGTGTTAGCAATGGTATTTATAGTAATATGAAATGTATTACTTTTATAACAAAAATATTAAAACCTAAAATCAAAACATTCAAAGCACAGCTTCTAATGGCTATTAGAAACAATACTCCTTTAACTATAGTGCAATCCCAAACTGAAGTCTTTTACATGTATTAATTTATTGCCCTTTTCTCATTTGGTGCCCAATAAATTCTAATTGATAACATAAGATTGACATAAAGCCACTAAATGATCATTATAAGTTTTTAGAAAACTAACTAGATTATAAAGCAAGAATATCAAGTTAGGTCCTTAAATATGAAATATGCTGTACATTTTTAAACCAACATTTCCCCAGTTTTAATGATCTTTTGGTTTCTTATAAGTGAGTCAAAAGAAACCTCTACTTCTAAGTCATTAATTCCCAAAGAAGTGTTATTACTTCTAAAGCGAAATAGGATATTACGTTCTTTCATCTTACATTAATTTAAATCACTTTAGAAATAGTTTGGATTTTTTTTCTTATCCACAGGTAAGATATTCTAAGTATCTTATCCTAGGTATCCTATACGAAAATCTACTCTCTCTTATTCTCATATTCTTTAAATATACTCAATGTTAGATATACTTACAGCTGCTCATCTTTCTACAAATATATGACTGACTTCTTATTCTACTTACCTGCCTATGATTAATTGCATTAAGGTAGTTCTCTTTCTTGGAAGTCTTTCTGAAACCTACTGAATAGATTCCTGCCCTAACCTTCCTACAAGGCAATCTGAGAAGAACTGAGACATTTAAAATATTTTCCATAGAGACAAGTCAAAGGGCCTTGGCCTGTGATCCATCTTGTGTTGGGCCAGGGACACTTAATATCAAAAAGCATTAAGCAGATATTATAGATATTCTAATAGGCATCCCATCAGCTCCCTTTTTATCAAAAAAAAATAATAAACTTTTTATTTTGGGATAATTTTAGGCTTACGCAAAATTTTCAAAAATAGCAAAGAGAGTTTCCATATAGTCCTTACCCAGTTTCTCCTAATGTTAACATATTACATAATCATGGTACATTGTCAAAACGTAAAAAACCAACATTGGTACATTACTATTAACTAAACTCACAACCTAATTTGGATTTCACTATTTTCCCGCTAATGTCCCTTTTTTGCCCCAGAATCTAATCCAGGATACCAGATTGTATTTAGTCAGCTCCCTTTTTATTGTTTGCCATCCCCAGGAAAATAAGGAAGTCATGGGTTATTCTTCCACCACTTAAATGTTTCCCAAATAACTTCAGGCAATCCTGGAGTCCAAATTTATGAGGGGTATAAAACCAAAATTTTCAGTCCTTTTTGTGGGGATCTGCGTTTCACCCGCTATGTGCCTAAGCAGATAAAAGATTAATATGAAAGTGAAAGCTGAGGCTGAACTAAGATAAGTGGAGCCAAGCTAAGTATTCTTTCTTTGTGTGTGTGTGAGGAAGATCAGCCCTGAGCTAACATCTGCCAATCCTCCTCTTTTTGCGAGGAAGACTGGCCCTGGGCTAACATCCGTGCCCATCTTCCTCCACTTTATATGGGACGCCACCACAGCATGGCTTGAGAAGCAGGGCGTCCGTGCGTGCCCGGGATCCGAACCAGCGAACCCCCGGCTGCCACAGTGGAGCGTGCGCACTCAACCGCTTGGACCACCGGGCAGGTCCCAAGCTAAGTACTCTTAAAGCCTGCCAGCTTCTCTGAGCAACTGGAGGTATCCTTGAGGTCCTCAGCCTTGAAATAGGATTCTTGTGCTTGCACTAGAGGTCCTGGTAACAAAGATAGATAAGGATACAAGCCCTCTCTATAATAGTTCTTATTATTGTAATATTTGAATAATACTAAATAGTTTACAAAAAGTTTTTACATCTATATCTGATTAACAACTTTTTTTCTTTTTACATTTAAGGAAACACTGAATACATTTAGAGATTCCAATGTTCCAGGTTTTATTCTGAGCACTTTCGTAAAATTATTCTTATTTAATCCTCCTGTCTATGAGGTATTATTATTCCCATTTTATAGATGAGAAAACTGAGGTTTAGATTTGTTTTTTGTTGTTATTGCTGTTGTTGTTGAAATGATGTAGCATCATACAGGACCTGTTCCTATTATAGTGCACTTCAGTTCAAAACATATATTGGGCATCTACCATATAGAAGATGCCATACCAGGTCAGGAGTAAGATATGAACCCTGGCCCAGGGAAAATTCGAGTCTAGTGGGTGAAATAGGCATATGAATAGATCATTTCAACAGATCGTTAGATTTGTTTTTAAAATGCTCAAGGTCACACAGTTAGCAAATGATATAGCAGGGATTCCAATCTCATATGTTTAACTCTAGCTCCACACTCTTAACCAAAAAGGTTAAGAAGCTTTGGACTTGGAATGAGTGTTCTCTGACTCCAATAAATCTTTCTGCTCTAGCTCATGCCTATTCCTGATTGTTATTACCCAAATCTATTAAAGAATTCACCCAGGCATTTAACAAATGTTTGAATATTATGTGCATTTTACTGTTTTGGATTCTTTGGAAAATTTAAAGCTGTTCAATTTTTCTAGGAGCAGATAAGACTATTATTCATGAAAGTTTAAATAACTATATAATCTGATAATCAAAAGGCTTATCATAGAGCAATGTATGGTCAACACAGTGAAAGAAGACTCTGTGAGATATAATTAATTTTCACATAGAAGGTATTCAAGGATCCCAAAGTAAACATCAGTGCTACCATTAGCTTTAGCAAGAAACCAAATTTGAAATAGGCAAATTTAACTATTAGTTTCACAAAGCTATTAAAATGTTCTAGAGTCTATTTCATCATTTAAGAGAAGCCTAGTGAGTCCAGTGGCATGCCAGAAAGGTATAGAAGCAGTTGGGAAGAATGGGGAAAAAATTAAGTAACTATAACTATTAAGAAAAGCTGGAGTAAAATGAGTGAGAGTGTGGGAGCAAAATTCTTACTACCAAGTTTACTAAATAAGCAGAAAGGTAATTTGAGGCTTATTTTACCTACGGATCATGTTCCGGGTATACCAAACAGAAGGAAATGATTCCTTTAGGAGAGATGTATAGTTACGGTTTAAATCCCGTCCAGCTAAGGAACACCGATAATTTCCCACAATCACACCATCTGGATTCAGCATGGGTACCACCTTGAAGATGAAAGTGTCCCGAAGCAACTGTGCATCACTTGAGTTTCCTAAAATATAATCTAGGAAGCCTTTCATGATCCAAGAGCTGTTGGTTTCTCCTGGATGTACTCGTGCAGTCAAAATCACAGCTTTTCGCTTTCTTGAGTCAGTGTTCTTCAATGGGGTAGTGATCGTTAAAACATACACCATATTCCTAGCAATCGTGTGGCACAAGACACGTATTTTACAAAACTTTGACCGTACTGGGTCATTATTGATGCTAGAAAGATATTCTTGCAGGTTGGTGTAAGTGTATGGATAGCAGTGAGCAAAGTAGCAGGTATCTTTGCTGTGTGGAAATTGAAATGTCCATGTAAGAGAGAAATAATGGCGCCCATCTTGTCCCTGATTGTTCCTATAATACTTGATTTGGTCTCCTATTCTCTGCCAGCCAATATTATGAGACTTGGCCTCTTTTTCAGAATAAAACAGTGGGCGCATACCCCGACTGTAAAGACTAGCGGGCTTGGTGAAATTGATAATAGTGAATCTGTAGACTATTCCTGCTTGGGTATTAGTGACTTGGAAATAGTACCACTGAGTGTGTTTATTTGTGAAGAGGTCAGGGCGCAGAGTCAACTGGTATTCATATTCTGCCCTAATACACAAAAAAGGAAGGAAAAAATACACATAAAAATGTAAAAATGACATTCAAGTTTAAATTAAATAAGGAAAATTATTTTATTTTTACCTATTCATAGACAGCTTTTTTGGGGGGGAACAATGTGTATTTAGGCAATATCCAACAGCAAGTAATTGCAAAAGATAAAAGTTTAAAAATTTTCTCTTTTATTGGATGTGAAACTGCTTCTATGCTAATTCTAAAGCCTTTTCATTCCTCTGTAATTCAAGAGAACACATAAAAAAATGGGCATTTGATAAACAATTATATATTTCAACACAATTATGTTTTCTATAAAAGAAATGATTAAAGAGTTCTTGAAACTGAATTCAAGTCCAATGTTTCTTTTTTTACTTCAGACATATATGTTTTCTATTAGATTCCAACTCTAGGGATCTGAAATAATTATCACTGAGAAAGGTTTAAGACATACATAAATTAATACGACCAGATAGATTACAAAATTTTAAACTCTTTGAGGACTGTATTTGATAACTACTTGCATCCCTCATACTTAGTCATTGAGGATACTTAAATAAAGGCAAAATAATTTTTCTGGTATATTGTTTATATATATTATATATATATATTATATATATATATATATATATATATAATATATATATAATCTTACCTGGTTGGCTGTGACTTTTTTCTTTGCCAAGTAACTTTCTATTCTATCAGCACTATGTATTGAGCATGTGTGCAGTTATAAACAATGACCTAGGAACAGGTGAAATGAATGTTGCAAAATCTGATAGCTGTTGAATCTAGGTGATGGGTATATGGTAGTCAATGTAGAACTGTATTATTCTCTGTACTTAAGTGTATGTTCAAACATTTTCATAATAAAATTTTTTTAAAAGAATGTCCTTAGATAGCATGCATGTTCCCAAGCATATTTTATGGAACACTCATCCCAAGAACTATTCCATTAAAAAGTTTGAGAAGCAGTGTGTGTGTGACAGAGAGAGAGAGAGAGACAATTCATCTTGGCATATTGAAAATGTACAGTACAGAAACAACTTTAACTTATAGTCATCAAAATTATTTGAACCTTTCATACCCCCCCAAAAATCTCTAATTAGTGTCTATACTTCAAGGAATTACAGTTCCGTAATGGGTATTAAAACTTCAATGTACTTAATACAGAAAATAATAAATACATGAAGGTCTAGCTCCTTGAATAAAAATAGTTAAAACCTACACTTTGACTACCTTCTGGAGATTACCACTCTCAAACCTTGCTTCAAACATCAAAGTATTGTCACAGTTATCCACAGGCTGCTTCAGGGGTGTTCGGTTGCCCCCAACTCGGGAATACACAAAACAAGGCTCTTTGTAAACTGATGAGAAAAGAAGACCACAAAGATATTAAACCATGTCTAAAATATACAGGCTATTCTGCAAAGAGTTTGGGGCTACAGTACAAGTATAAAGTGTCACTAAGGATTTTAAATTTTTTTTTTTTGTGAGCAAGACCAGCCCTGAGCTAACATCCAATGCCAATCCTCCTCTTTTTTGCTGAGGAAGACTGGCCCTGGGCTAACATCCATGCCCATCTTCCTCTACTTTATATGCGATGCCGCCACAGCATGGCTTAACAAGCGGTGCGTCGGTGCGCACCCGGGATCTGAATCAGTGAACCCCGGGCCGCCGCAGTGGAGCGCGCGCACTTAACTGCTTGCACCACCAGGCCGGCCCCAGGATTTTAAATTTTAAAGTAATTCGACACTAACATGTAGATTTATGTTGACGTAAGAAAGACTAAGAGTATTTAGACTAGAAAAGCAATGCCTAAAATAAATTCATGTATTTCTCACATTAAATATACTTATTCCACTTTTGGTTATTATGAAGTAATTGGTCCCAAACTTGCCCTTTCACTGTAAATAACGATAAAACTGGACAAAAAAATATGAGCTATTTTCATACATTTGGACAACACATAGACCAGAACTATATAGGGTTCTTGAAAGAGGATAAATACATGAGGTGAGCCCATGTTTAAACTTGGCTTTCTTCCTGGGAGTACTTTCTAACTACATCTTAGGAAAGTAGCACTTAAGAACAGCATAATAGTCTTGCTGAGCTGAGGAGGCAAGACTGTTTCTTGGGGCTGCTGAAATTTGTGAGGCAGGACACCAGAGAGAAGAAAGCTACATAGAGGGAGGGCCTCAGCAGTCTACATGATGGTTCCCCAATCCTTGGGTGAGGGCTTGGCTGTACAAGCACAGAATAGGACTAATCAAGATAGGAAAGAGTGCTACTGAGGGGCTGAGACATCAGAGAACATACAATTCTAAGATATACTGGAATTCTAACCTATCCAGAATGGAAAGACTTCACTGAGCACCCTAGGCATTCAACTGTGACTCCAAAAAGGCTGCACACTGGGCATAAGAACCACATTCAAAAGTAAGGGCCATGACCTAGGACAAGGGACAAAAATGAAAATAGACTTGCCCTTATAAAAAAAATAAAACCAAGCCTGAAAGAAGCAAAATAATCTGTCAGCAATTTAGCTGCCTTCCAGAAAAAAATTCAACATAGTTTTTAAGAAGAACATAATACAGACTCCTACAACATATCTTTCACAATGTCCTGCATATGATTAAAAAAAATTAAGAAGCATGAAGAGAAGCAGGAAAAATGTGATCCATGTTCAAACACACACACACACACACACACACACATATTCAACAGACCCCAAGATAACCCAGATGTTGGGATTAACAAAGGACTTTGAATACAGTCACACACCATATTATAACATTTCGTTCAACGACGGACTGCATATATGATGGTGATCCTATAAGATTAGTATATATAGCCTAGGTGTGTAGTAGGCTATAGCATCTAGGTTTGTGCAAATACACTCTAGGATGTTGGCACAATGACAAAATTGCCTAAGGACACATTTCTCAGAATGTATCCCCATCATTAAGCAACACATGACTGTATATGTTAAAAGACAAATGAAAAGACAGAGACAACGAACAGATTAAGTAATCTCAAAAAAAGAAATGGAAACTATAAAAAAGAACCAAGTGGAAATTCTAGAAATAAAAAGTACAATAACTGAAATGAAAGATTTACTATATGGGCTCATGAGAAATTGAAGATTTCAAAGAAGGACTCAGTGAAATGAAAAACAAATAAATACAAATTATCCAAACTTAAGGACAGAGAAGGAAAACAATGAAAAAAGATCCAGCGACATGTGGGGCATAGCTAGAAATTCAAAATATGTGTAATAGGAATTTCAAAGGACAGAAGAGAAAGAATAGTATGGAAAAAGTATGTGAAGAAATAATGGCTGAAAATTTCTCAAATTTGGAAAAGCACCCCCACCCTATTAACCTATGAATCCAAGAAGTTCAGCAAACTCCAAGCAAGATAAACATAAAGATAACTAAATCTAGGCAGATCATAGTCAAATTGCCGAAAACAGCCAGAGAGAAAAGGACACATCATCTATAGGGAACAATTATATAAATTATGGTTGATTTTTTATTAAAGATGACAGATGTCATAAGACAATGGAACAATACCTTTAAAGAAAAAATTTTTTAAAGAAAAAAATGTCAACCCAGAATTCTATATACCTGGTTGTTTGGGGACTTCCCTCTCCTACAGCTACAGGTTTGGAAACCATTCTGTCCTCTTACACTTTCAGGCCTAGAAGACATAATGTTTCTGCTCTGTTGATAGTCCTATGTTGCTTCGCCATCCTTGTTAGTCTCCTTTAACTGTGTCCACACTTTTGTAAGTTATACTTACATTAAACTTTCTTACGTTGCTCCAAGTATGCCATCCAATTCCTAACAAGACCCTGACTGACTCACCTCAACTATCTTAATTTTTCATCAGACCTCATTTAAGTTATGTGTGGAAGTTCTAAGGCAGGTTAGTCACGTAAATATTTGAAATCAAATTTAAAAAATCAGAGGTGCTTCTCTCACTCCAGTTGTTTAAAAATATGTGAATATATGATTCCTAGAACTGCTTACCATATGGAAAAAAGTCCACATGAATTTCTCTGGTTTGCCAGCCTTTTAAATAAAATACATATGTTCCCTGGAAGTTATCTTTCATGTATACTCTAAGATATAGAATTCTGATAGCAAAATTGTGCAGGAATCCCATACTTCCTCATAGTGGTGCTTTAGGAGCAGCACAGCTTCGGATATAGGCTGAGATGTCTATGTTTGATTATTAGCACACTATTATTAGCACACTATCATAAAGCAGCTATGAGATTTTGCATGACTAAAACTCTCAAAGTGCAAATATTGATCTTCCATGTTAAGAACACTTTTCTGAGATATAATCTTAGACGTTATTTGCAATGTGGTGTATTTTCCTCTTTTAAAGATGACAATCCCAAGAAATGCATCAAACTGGCATGAAATGAAGAGACCACCCCTGCATGAACGTGACCTATCCATAGAGAGGGGCACAATAGTTGTAAAGAACTCCACTGGATTTATCTCAGAAAACTGATGTGATGCATAATTCCTTCTCAATATAACTTTCCCTTCTAATGGCCAATATGATGTTTTATTTTTTTTATTTTTTTTTTATTTATTTATTTTTTTTTATTTTTCCCCCCAAAGCCGCAGTGGATAGTTGTATGTTGTAGCTGCACATCCTTCTAGTTGCTGTATGCGGGACTCGGCCTCAGGATGAACGGAGAAGTGGTGCCTCGATGCGCACCCGGGATCCGAACCCGGGCCACCAGCATCGCAGCGCGCGCACTTAACCACCAAGCCACAGGGCCGGCCCTGATGTTTTATTTTAAAGTAACTTTGCATAAACTGCAGTTCACCTTCAAGAATATAATTAGCGCTAAATTAACATTCGGATCAATATGTAATCAAACATCTGGATGGGGACAGGGACTTCCTGGTAATCTGCAATTTACACTATAAACAGCAAAACAAATATAACTAAGAGAATAATCCAAATTATATTTTATAGCAACATGTCTCATTATGTACCAACCATCTTCAGCTAGATAAACCACAGTATCTTCCTTGGAGTTTGGATAAAGAGGTTCCATCTCCAGGCCTGTTGGGAGGTATAATGGCTCAGGATAAGAAGGAGTCCAATCTGGAAAAAGAGAGAAAATATTATTTGAATATGATTTTGAAATAAAATTGAAAAATTATATGATATATTTTCAAATTATTCATTGATAGATCTAGGCTAAAATTGTTTTATGTGGGGCTGGATTTTACCAAGGGTTCACTGGAAGTAATAACCAACATTGTCACCTGGTAACAAAACCCATAATATTTCATTTGCACCTTGTTCTAAATTATTATGGTGAGTAGTTCATGATTATTTTGTGTCATTATAGATTTTATACTGATGTTTCTATTTCTCCTGAGCACCTGATGCCTTTTTGACCCACCTCTGGGAATCTTGCTCTGCCTTTTATTCTCCTTTCCCCTGCATCTTCAGCCTTTTGCTTGATAATGGTCATCCCCTAGGCTTATAAACATGTTCAGTTTTCTTTCTCCCCAAAGGAAGCCTATCCTTGGATCCTCACCTTCTTCCTTAGCTATACCAGCTTTCCTTCTCTTCATTATTTTTAGAACCAAATTACTTAAACATGCTCAAATGCATAACTTACCTGTGACCAAATTTTTGACCATGATCTATTTGATTGGAAAAAAATGATTTCACAGCCCAACTACTCTAGCTATTCCCACTTTTTAGCGGGATGAGAATTTGGTGATGACTCATTCTCCTATTTCTCTTTTAGCATTGGCTGATGTGTGCCAGACTATGCTTCTCTCTGGGAATAAATATGCTCCAATAGAGGCAGCCAGCCCCCTGGTCCCAAATACATTCCTTGGAACAGTTAAAAAAAAAAAAAGAATTTGATGATGAGAAAAAAGTATTACTGGACAAACACACACTTGGGGGATTATGTGTACAATTGCTTTGGCAACAGATGTGTATTTGTCATAATGAATAGGGTCAAGTCTAGCTACAGAAAAAGCAGAAACTAGAATACTGATGCAAATATGCACATTGTAGGGTTAACTGAACAACACACAACTAAGTAAACTGATGATAAAGCAAATTATAACTAAAAAGTGAGACTCACATTAGTTGAAAATCTTAAGCAACTCAAACCAAAACTAATCATGAGCTGATAACATAGCATTGATTCTGAATATTTTGGGAATTTCAGCTATGTTCCTTTGTGCATGCTTATTGTCAAAAGTTGCATGACAGCCAGACTTCCAGTTAAAGGCATAGGAATTTCATTAATCTGTTTATGCTCTTATTTAACGTTTTTTTTTTTTTTGTGAGGAAGATTAGCCCTGAGCTAACATCCAATGCCAATCCTCCTCTTTTTCTTGAGGAAGACTGGCCCTGGGCTAATATCTGAGCCCATCTTCCTCCACTTTATATGGGACACCGCCACAGCATGGCTTGACAATTGGTGCGTCAGTGCTCGACCGGGATCCGAACCTGCGAACCCCAGGCCACCACAGCGTAGCGCATGCACTTAACCGCTGTGACATTGGGCCGGCCCCTTTTTTTTTTTCATTTTGTGAGGAAAATCAGCCCTGAGCTAACAACCATGCCAATCCTCCTCTTTTTGCTGAGGAAGACTGGCCCTGAGCTAACATCTGTGCTGATCTTCCTCCACTTTATGTGGGACACCGCCACAGCATGGCCTGACAAGCAGTGCGTCAGTGCGCACCCAGGATCCAAACCCAGCCGCCAGCAGCGGAGCGCACGCACTTAACCGCTACGCCACGGGGCTGGCCCCATGCTCTTATTTAACTATTTATTAATAAATAGTCCTTATTGTAAAGAAATATGAAACTCTATCATTAGAACTGGAGAAACACCTTGTGCAATAGGGTCAAGTCTGCAGCTTATCAAAGTACCCTTACTGAGGACCACGTTTTGAGCATCAGCCTTAACCCACTGCAATCCAGCTTTTGCTCTTTCCAGTCCTGTACCCATTGTTCCATGAAAACCGTTCTTGGAGTTGTATTTGAAACAGAATAGGCACTCAGTTAAATGTCTATAGATTAAATGGATGGATGAATGGATGGTTGAACAACTCAGATGGGGTTCTCATGCACATAGTCCTTAAATTTAAATGATGTATACTGACCCATTGCCATAAATGCTTTATGTCTGGCAATATCTTCATTGCAAAGAAGCTGCTCTAGAGTAGGATTGCTTAAGCAGAGTTTTGGGATGGAAATGGAAGTATTTCTAGATTTTCTGAGAAGTAATTCACATTAAAGAATTTCATCTGTAATGGACTTTAACATGAACATAGATCTGATAAAGACACTTCTTTAACACTATCCAGTGTTAGCTTTTGCAGGTGTCATGAAGTCAAGTAGGCAGGCAAGTTCTATACTCTTTTACAATCTTCCCATTATCAGAATCTCCTGCCACCCTTGTTGATTTCTTCTATCCAAAAATATTACTTAAAGGTGGTGGTTATCACTGTCCCAAGAGAACACAGATGTTTATGCATAACAAATGTGCTGTTTCCCAGTTTTTTCAAAGCTGCAAACTATTGAGGTACCTAAACAGCACTGCATTCTTTTGAATTCTCCTTGGGTTAAAGTCATGTCCCCAGAAGAAGAATGGAGAATGCACTTAGCATTTACCATGTCTCATGAGCACCAAATCAGTCCTATTTGGGCCATTATGTCTCATGGACCACCTGGTGAAGTTTTTTACTTTGGCTTTTAGCTCCTTTCTCCATAAGCCTTAGGTCTGGCTTGAGGGGCCAATACTTGAGAAAACACCATGCCCTCAGTTCTATACCATACATTTCATTTTGTTTTAAGGAAAAAAAAAAAAAACAAAAAACTCTCATGCCAAAGAAGACTCCTTGAGGCTCTAACCACCAGGAAAGCAGACAGCCTAGAAATGTCTGAAAATAGATTATATTGAAGTTGCAACCCCTGTACAAAATAAGTTTAGAATGTGACTCTTCTAAGACTAGTAAATATTTTAAAGTGTTTCTTTGTTTGGTGGTTTCCCTCCTTTACTGATTAACTTGTGTTCAGTTCCAATCTGTAAATAATGCTGTTCTTGGTAACAAAAGAATATTGGTTTCTCAGAAAGTCAATAAATGCCTATTTAGAAAGTGTCTTCACGATGGTAAATCCAAATCTGTGGAAGACATTTATTTATACTATATCTGTCATCCTTTTATGAAGAAAAACATCATAAAAATTAACAGGTCCAGCACTGATTCAACCATTTGCAGCACTGATTTAAAAGCCTAAGCAGATGACAAGGGATATTCCATCTTCTATATCTCTTTTTTCACTTGGACGCCATAAGACTTTTTACATGCCCTCAAGTTCACCTTTGATTGATCCCACTTTTCAATGATTATACATAGTATATGCAAGTGATCTTATAAAATGGATGTCCAAGAGTCATGGAAAATTCCAGGAGCAATACAACTTCTCAATTAAAGGTGCTTAATTTACAATGCTTTTGATAAGTAATTATTTTTTAGTAAACAACATGTTTATTGCATAAAAATTTTAAAGTATACCTTAAGCAAAAAGAAAAAATATCCATAATCTCATTACACAGAGATAAACATGAACATTTTGATTTGTAGCTTTTCAGGCTTTCTCTCTTTCGATTATCCAGTGAAGATGCTTTTAGCTGCAAGTAACAAAAATTCTCGATGCAAACTGGCTTAAACAATAAGAAAATTTATTATCTCACATATCTAGAAATCCAGAAGCAGAGTGGATTCAAGGTCTGGTACAATCGGTGGCTCAGTGGTCATCTAAGGCACAGTTTCTTTATGTCTCTCCACTTTTTTATCCTCTACTTTGAGGTCATCCTTAGGCTAGATCCCTTATGGCTGTAAAATGGGAATAATGTGGCTACCAGTAGAACAGTGTCATGTACTAACTGACTTAGACTAATTGATGGATTAGGTGGATTAGGTGGAATTGTTCCTTGGGAATCAATCACAATGTCTTCTTCATGTATATGACATCATTCTATATATAGTGATCATCAATTTGTTTTTCCCACCCTACTTAACTAAATATCTTAGAGATTTTCCTTTGTTAATACACATAAATCGCCCTCATTCTTTAACAGCTGTGTGGTGTTAAATGGATTGCCACTATTTGACCACTGATGGACATTATAGTTATTTCTTTATTGATGGATATTTTGGTTGTTTCTAATAGTTTATTTATACTGCAATGAATATCCTTATAATATGCCGCTATTCATGTGTTTGAATGTCTTTAGGTTAGATATCTACAAGTAGAAATGCTAAATAAAAGAACATGTGAATTTTACATCTTGATATATAAAGCGATATATATTGCCCTTAAAAAAGAGTATAGCAATCTCATTTATACCTTTGTGCAATTTCTTTGAGGATACCTTTTATCACTTTAGGTTACAAAGTTATTTCATTTTTTCCCCCTCTCTTAAAAGCAAAAGGAGCCTGTTTGGCTCTCAGAGGAATTAACCTAATGTCTGTGTACAAATGGAGTATCATTGGCTATCCCCGTAAACTTCATCTGAGACTACTTTAGAAAAATCTGTTCACAATCTCCTATAACTACGGTCATGTGTTGTATAAAGACGTTTAGGTCAACGACGGACTGCATATACGATGGTGGTCCCGTAAGATTAGTATCATATAGCTTAGGTGTGTAATAGGCTATTCCATCTAGGTTTGTGTAAGCACACTCTATGATGTTCACATAATGACGAAATCACCTAACGACACATTTCTCAGAACATATCCCCATCATTAAGTGACGTATGACCATATAGCATTTTATTAAAAGAAATTCTTTGGGTATTGATTAGAAAAGGTGTTCCTTTCTAATAATTTATGTTCCACTTTTCAGTGGTGAACAAAAGCTTCAAAATAGGTGATGGGCCTCATTTGGCCCATGGGTCATAGTTTATTACTACAGAGCCTGGACTCCTAGCTATTTTGGTACATGAATTAGTTGGCTTTTGCTACATAAGAAACCTCCCCAAAACTTAATGACATAAAATAATAGTCATTTATTTATCTCAGCTAAGTGGTTCTTCTGGTATTGGTTAGGTTCACTATA